ACTCACTCACTCACTCACTCACTCACTCACTCACTCACTCACTCACTCACTCACTTACTTATCCTCTCACTAACTATACCGTCAGGTACATGAGGCAGAGAGCAGTCGACGCCCCGCTTGCCTGCCCCTGGCCACTTTCTCCTATTTCGGCACATCCAGGCTCTGGGTGTTTGCCTCACCCGTTATTGTGACTCAGTAGCTTCCAGTTGATCTTCTACGTATTCTGTTTCCAGTTGGTCTCCAATGTCTGGTAGGACAAGCATTGTCTTCGGCATTCTTACAACTTGTCCTACATATCTCAATCATCTCCTTGTTATCGTCGTGTTGATATCTTCAATTCCGGCTCTTCCCAACACTACATTATTTACATATTATTACGCTATTCCTAGAATATTCTAAAATTGCGTTTTATCTGCTTGATAAATTTGACGTTAAATTTGTTTAATTTTACAACAGGGTTTAACTTTTTAAAATGCCATTCTTGGAATATCTTGATAACAACTCATAACAATTCTACAATTTAGACAGAGTTGATAGAACATTACGTTTCTGACTCCATGATCTTTGTAACTCAAAATGGGCAAACAATGTATAGATAACTTTGAAATTCTAAGGCAGCGATTAAACATTAATATTCTAATTTTTGCGAATAAGAAAACACGCATCATGTACATTGTAGACATGTACAAATTTTCTAGACAACTCACGACAAACGCTATTTTCAAACTTGGGTCGAATCTATAATATGTGTGACATCGTGGTGAAATCAGGCGCAAGTAACAAAAAAAGAAAAAAGAAAAGAAATCGAAGAAACCGTAATGTTTTCACCTGCTAGGTAATTTCTATCGATGTTTGTTTTGTATTGAGCTCAACACCATTTACGTCGTTTGAAAAAACGCATTCCTGTGTGGATTCACTGAAAAATGTTGATCAAACGCACAAAAAATGTACATTTTTTTCTGCTTCCAAGGACACTCAAGCTTTGAAAATCACCACACTTTGGCGGGCATTTCTTTGCTTATTGTACCTCTTACACAAGGCCACCCCCAACCTCCTTCAATAGCAAATACCTCGATTTCTATTTGAGACAGAGTGATGAAAAAAAACAATCCCCCAAGGAAAACGAGCAAGTCTTACGATGATACCACAAAAACTCCGTATGCCCGCAAAACTCTCTCTCTCTCTCTCTCTCTCTCTCTCTCTCTCTCTCTCTCTCTCTCTCTCTCTCTCTCTCTCTCTCTCTCTCTCTCTC